CAGGGGCAGGGGCAGGGGCTCCCCCCCCCCCGTGCACGCCACTGGCTTTGTGGTTCATTGAGTACAAAACATTTTAGAATCCCTACAGCGGGCAGTGAGCTTTGATCTTTAAAAGAACTAAAGATAATCAAGGACTTTATCATGGCTTTTTGGCTTTAAAAATATTACTCTACTCTAATAAACTCTAATAAAGTTAACTTTTCATGAGCAGTATTATTATTTGAACATTTGATGGTTAAAATCATGTGCACAATGTGTTTTGAGTTGGGCACTTACATTCTAATGATGTTCTTAACGTTGAAATTGTCCAGTGGTGAAACATCTGGATTTTCTCCCTTCTCATCTTGTAGAACAATTTGCTGAAGGATGCGGTCTAAAAGTTGCCATTGCTGTATACTGCCTGCACCACGTTTATCTGAAAACATTTTACAAAGTCATAAACAAGCCTTTTTTGGGATATGATGTCATGGTAATGCCATGCTTTTCTGGACATGTAACATGATATTTAAATGGTATTCTTGGAGCATGTACATATCATATGAATATGATAATTCCTTAGTCCCACACATCTATCAAAGTAATACAGTTTTACAATCTGACACCATCACTTCATTAGCTGTGGAATGCAGGGATGGTTATAATTAAATACAAAGGAAATGATACAAAACACAGACATATATAGTAGGCACTGTTCCAAACTTAGTAAGCTGCCTACAAAGAAAGCATTTCAATTTTCAAGGCATCACAGGCATACTCCAAGCACAAAGAGTATTCCAAACACAAATTATTCCAAAAAATAAAAGGTATATTTTGAATGGGTCAAATGGAAGAGTTCAGATCCTCACATGGCATTTGGAGGCAGTGCTTTAAGATAGATAGAAGGTGGGGGTAGGCATCTGTGTTGCTCAGTTTCTTCTTGATCAGCTCAAACATCTGTCCAGCACTCTTGGTGTCCACGTGTGTCTGGACAAAAAAGGTCCATTCATTTTTTTTTTTTCAGTTAGGCCACACATGAAGCCAGGAGCCTTATAAACAAATCTAATAATACCAAGCTGTTCTGTATATAATAAGTGCTCTGTAAATGTAAGGACATGATATGAAAAAAGGCATGTGCAAATAGGTAAAAGATCTTACAGTGTCAAAGCATTTGGCCAGTTCTAACTCATCCTCATTCCGCACCATCTCAAAAAAGTCCAGATGTCTGAAACAAACAAACACAGCCTTTCTATTAGAAGCAACAGTATGATGCATTTACTGATTGTTAGGTGGAAAAGGAGCACCATTTTAACTGGTGTTCTGTACCTGTCGAGCGTGGCATTATCATGTGCTCTCAGCTTCTCGATGACTGGCTGAATTCCTAACATCAGAAACTCATACCTAAGATGAACGCGAAACTCTAGACTGTCCTTTGAGAGAAACAAAGGAAATCATCATGTTAATAGTGTATATATATCATATAAATTTTTTTTATTTTTAAGGAAGTTCTGTCATCAGCTGACCTCTCCAACTCCAGCATTCAGCACAGCGTTTATGAATGACATGATGGCTGTCTTCAGATTTACTTCATCCCTGTAGTGTCTTGTGCTTCTGTCCAGCTCGTTCAAAAGAGACTGAGTAAAAAATACAAAAATATCGAATTAAATACAATTAATCTAATTAAGATTGATTTTTCCCCCACCAGATATCTTTTTTTTTTCAATTAAAAAGTGAAAGTGAAAGTGACGTGACATGTGGCCAAGTATGGTTACCCATACTCGGAATTAGTGCTCTGCATTTAACCCATCCTAAGTGCACACACACAGCAGTGAACACACACACACCGTGAACACACACCCGGAGCAGTGGGCAGCCATTTATGCTGCGGCGCCCGGGGAGCAGTTGGGGGTTCGGTGCCTTGCTCAAGGGCGCCTCAGTCGTGGTATTGAAGGTGGAAGAGAGCGCTGTACATTCACTCCCCCCACCTACAATCCCTGCCGGTACGAGACTCGAACTCGCAACCTTTGGGTTATGAGTTCAACTCTCTAACCATTAGGCCACGACTATTAGAGTATTGCATTATTATCTAAGCAACATGTTACAAGTAAATGTTTAATGCAAGCACTGTAAAGTTGTATTTTTGTGTGTACAAGTAAAGAGAGCTATTTGTCTGATTTGTGTGAATGACTCCTAATAAAGTTGCCCATGTAAAGTGTTTTAATTTTAGTTGCCCATGTAAAGTGTTTTAATTTATGAGATTCCATGGTGTTTAGAATTCTGCTTCTGTAGTAGATAGCAAGACAACTTATAAGCTGATGTATAATTCGAAAAGTCTGACTGCTGATCCCTGTAAAGTAACTTTTTCTAAAACTGTTCAATTGCTTTACTACTACCCCAGTTCATGGATGGTCCATCTATGATTTTCTATTTACCTAATAGGCTGATAAGGACAATAAATGACAAATTCTCATCACAGTCCCTATTTTAAAGTCAGTGCAAACAGGTGGGAATGTTCTCTTTTCTTTCTCTGGAATGGGTTGCTAATGTCTGCTTATGGTGCTTATTGTGTCAAGAGTGCTCAGAGATCTATTGGGTCACTAGGAATCAACCATGCTTAAAAGGCTAATATTTCAAACACTGGCATTTGTTGTTGCCAGGCATGTCAACTACACTTGAATAAACACACAGTAAAGACAAATCACCCTACATATGTTGCATAAGATGAGGCCTCCACAGTTCTGCGGTTAAAATTACCATGTCTCCTGAGAGGTTTTAAAAAATGCAGACAAAACCCCGAAACGCTGAAATGTCAGAATCCACAATGACTCCCCAAAATACAGCCCACAATTTGACACTCTCCTATTTCTGCCATCACCTTTTTTTTTTCAGTTTAAAAGAAATTAAAATCGTAGAAAATGCATTAATAAAACAATAAGCCACAAAAGGAGTGATTTTACCTTAGTTAGTGATTTTAGCACAGTTACTGTAATAAGTGTTGTAAGGTGTAAGAATCTGAGAAAATATCTATAATGCATGATTTTGAGTACTCTTATAAAATATTAAACAGAGGAATATGACATAAAATGCCAATGTTAAATAAACTGAATGATCTAACCCTTCCACACTGTAATACTGTTCATTAGCCTAACAGCAGGCTAAGTTTACCACTCAGCTATTACACTCTATGGCAAATTTGACTGATGTACCATCACAGGTATGCACATATTAATTATTTTACACATCCTGTCAGATTATAGAGCTAGAATTACCCATATTATTGTACCACCCTCAAAGAAAATGAGTTTTCTAATGGAATTTCATGCTCAATTCCTTTCCTACTGTTGCAAAACTCTCAATAAAAGCAATTTTACCTGGAAGCGAGTCCTCTCTGCAGCATACTTCTGGTAGTGTACCATTGCCTGTAATACTTTCTTATGCCCGTCGGGCACCAAGCAAACAGCACCCAGGATCTCCAACACAGCCACTTTGGTCTTGATGTTGTCCTGGCGGAGGCTTTGGGAAATAGTGTTGATGCTCTGGGGGTGGGCCAGTACATGGGCACGGCCCTGGGAGTTGTTCATCAAGGCTTTGATGCAGCCGATGATGGATGTATGTATGCGGCTCTCTGAGGTTTCATAGTCCATGCTCTTCAGGAAGTTCAGAAGACACGTCAAGCCATCCAACTCGATGAAGCGTGTCACAAACCTGAAGGGAGAGTCATCAAAGGTTTTGTGAGGTTGATTTTTTACAATGCCTAGAATGTCAGGAAACATAACTATCATTGCCACACTGTTCTCAAAAACATGAACAGCACACTGATCCAACAAAACTCACCTTTAGAACAGGGCCTTAACTAGGAAAGCGCCTTTGAGATCTCATGGTCTTTTACACAATGAGACATGAATTATATAAATAAAATTGTGTCAGTTGAATACAAATGATCTTAGGAAGTACTTGGTAAAAACCAGAAGGGACTATCTTCAAAACTGCAGAAATCTTGGGAAAAGTCACAGATGGCTTCTTTATATACTCAGCTGCACAAATAAATAAGACATAAAACGGTATAATGAACAAGTCAACCATAAAAACCTGTCAATGCAGAATGAGCATGTATCCTCACATTCATCATATTGAGCTAAACCAGGGACTCATTATTCAGATTAATTAAGGTCAAGCATGTCATTAACCCCTTCTCAAGAGTGGCCAATCAAGTGACACCGTGTTTCTACATTCCTGCTCTTTATGTGACATTTCCATGTTAACCAAATACAGAGACTGTACTGACAACAGAGGTAGATGGTGGTGGTTGAGGGACAGACACTTATCGTCTGTAATCATAATAGATTAATTGTTTTCAAATCAATGCTTGCCAAGTTGAAGCTCCCTTTCTAGGTGAAGTGAGATGCATGTTTTTCATTGCCAGCGGGTGCCAAGAATACCATGCATCTCCCTTTACCTAGAATAAATCAGTTCTGTTATTATCCCATATAGTGTGGCTCCTCGTCTCCTGCAAACTCGATCAAACCTTAGTTCCAAAGCAGACATGGCTCACCTGGCATGGCTTAGTGATCTTTGGGCGACCTGTAATCTTTGAGAGCAATGTACACATGAGATCATAGCTGGCCCACAGTTGTTTGACTTCTCCTCACCTCACCACTACTGTCTGGATTAGCCCCTTATCCAATTTCCACATCAAATTTATGCTAAGAGTTCACAGACCGTTTCATGGTTAGGCCCTATTTTCATCCTCCAGTTTTTTTACAGTACATAAAGGGCTTATTGTAAATAGATTACTTAATTTGTCATCTTACTCCAAACATTTTTACCAAAAGTTTCATGGTACATCCATTATTGTTGTATTCTTTGAAATACCTAGGACTACTATTTAAATAGCAGGGAATATAAATATTGTATATATTTAGTACCATGGTCTTATAAAGGGTAATTTGTAAAGGGTCATTTGAAATGTATACAATATGGCTCTCCTCAGTCAGAAATTATGTTTGGAATCATTAATCTCACATTTATCAATAGTTCATGAAACAGTCATTCTCCCAGATCTCATTCAAACACATGTACATGCTTTCATTGTGGTCTCAAATTTTAAATATTAATAAAACCTTTCTTGATGATGCTATTACCTTCTTTCTTTGTTCTTTCATTTCATGATTCTAGTTTAAAATTTCACATGAACTTTTATTCATATTATTCCAATGTGGAAAATACTCCCTTCTGAACTGACACTCTTTTTCAGCCAAGAAACTCACATTCCGGAACAGGGTTTGAATAATACATCCTTGGTGGCAAGCAAGGCTGCTTACATAAAAAGTGGGTGTTAAGTCATAATACGTGTGATCTGTTCTGGGGCTTTTACTTGAATATTCTGTCTCAACTTTTGTAGAACACTGTCTTTGCTGCATAAAATCCACATTTGTTTATTGAGGTGCTGTTTCCTGATTCCTTGAAGAGGTCAGCTAGTTCCAGTCCCACATCTGATAATTCCATTATGAACCCCTGAACACAGCCTCCGTGACCCTGTGCCTTCATTAGCATTTTCCTGTGCTGTGGAGTTGCAGATGTTAGTGAAGCAGGACTTACTGCTCAGGGTCTCAGCGACACTTTAGGGAGTCCAGTCAAACTCTACTTAAGAGCACAATTTTAAACAACAGTAGTTGATCCAAAGTGCTTTACTATGAGAAATATTAAAATTGATATGTATTAGTAGCAATTAATGTAATTATAGAATATATATGATAGTGAAATATGAAATAAATAAGTGCATAAATCATGATTTCAAGGATCTTACTAGAAAGGAAGTGTTTTACTTTTGCTACAGATCTAAGTTGGAAGTAGCCACTCTTTATTAAAGCTGTCACGGCCCGGTACGAAACACCGAGGAGAAACAGGGTCTGGGTCCACATGCAGGTGAAAACTTCCTTTTAATGAACAGAATGGCCAACAAGGCAAAACAAAACAGATCTAGGCACGACAGATACGAATACATTTACAATACAGCCAGGCAGAGTGGTGAGTGAGAGGAGAAGATATAGTCTGTGACAATGGGGAACAGCTGAGGGTGAGTGTAATGAGTGAATGACTGAACAGGTGTTTGGGGAATGGAGTCCAGGAGATGGCGCCCTCTGGAGGAGAGAGGGAGAAACGCAGGGCCCAGACTCATGACA